CGGGCCATGCGTGACTGGCCTCAAGCAGTTGTCCCTTGGACTCTGCGGTCACGCACCAACACTAATCTATCTTCCTTTTCAGGTTCGTCAAGAAACAACCTTCCACGGTGTGGGCAGCCGGGAAGTGACAACCGCCCTCATACCCATAACAGCACGCGAGACCGAATTGGTCAAAATCAAATCCTTCCTACACCCCCTAGTACCTCTCTTATCTCCACGACTAACTCTTCTCACATTCATTCATCACAGTGCACAGCTAATGCAGACGATACGAGTTCGCGAAACGTCGTTCCTGGTCTCCTTAAACCTCGCTCTAGACTACATGTTGGAGCATTTAATGTACGGACATTGTGTCAAATAGGGCAACAGGCTTCCTTAGCTAGGACTTTAGAATCTCGTGCCATCGATGTATGCTGCGTCTCGGAAACGCGCATACAGGATCCGAGCCACGTCATACACTTGACCACACCATGTCAAAATAAAGAAGCAGCTCGATTTACTCTTCGTGTATCCGGTAGCCCTGATGCTGCTTCCCGGGGTCTTGCTGGCGTAGGCATAGCATTGAGTCGTAGGGCAGAACAATCTCTCCTTGACTGGATCCCAATAGATAGTCGATTGTGCGCTGTCCGACTAAACGGGACAGTAAGGACTCGGAAAGATAGGGACAATCGCCGTTGCCTCTTCGTCGTATCTGCCTATGCCCCCACTGAATGCAGTTCAGACGAGGTTAAGGATGAGTTTTACAGAAAGCTTTCGGACCTCCTCCAAAAAGCTAGGCGCTCTGATATAGTAATAATGGCTGGTGACTTTAATGCTCAAGTAGGTAGACTAAGTGAGCAGGAGAGACACCTAGGTGGATGTTATGGTGTCCCGGCTCAGAGAACAGACAATGGTGACCGTCTGTTGCAAGCATGCTCAGACAACCGCCTATTCTTAGCAAACACTAACTTTAGGCATGAGGAAAAGCATCTGTTGACCTGGCGACCCCCGAAGTCGTCTCAACGTTGGACTCAACTAGATCACATTGCCATCAGCCACCGATGGAGGGGTTCGATAGAGGACTGTCGCTCGTTCTGGGGCACATGCCTAGATTCAGATCATGCCCTAGTACGAGCGCGTATTTGTTTGAAGCTTACTGGGCGTAGGAAAGACACCGTAAGAAAGCCTCTTAGGGTTTTACTTAATGATAATAAGGCGAAAAATATATTTCAGGAACAACTAGAAAGACAGTTAGGCGACCATTTAAGCGATTCCCATCCGGAAGCAGGATGGAATGATATCAAAAAGGCTGTGGAAACAGCAGTGATATCTGCTAGTAAGGTTGACCATAAGGCTAGAATGAAACCGTGGATCTCAGTAGCATCCACCGATCTGATGGATGCTCG